GTGCAATCATGGGCGTCGCCAGGATTTTTCCAGGGGGGGGGGGGAAGCAAATATTTCCCCAAAATTCGTTTTTCATTATATTCTCAATTTATCATTTTTCCCGAGTGTGAGCAGGGGAGCATTTGCCCTACCCCCCCCCCCCCCATCAAATTAACAGCAATATGGCTTCGCCCCCCCTCGCGACGCCCATGTGTGCAATTGCAGGAGCAGCCGTTTTTCTGCAGATATGCACAATTGAAACAATTCCCATTCTCATCCAAATTTTAAAAAATACATATATAATGAAAGGGACAGAAGTCACGCTCAAGACCATCTTTTGCCCCTACATTTATTCCTCTGATTACCTCAAGAAGCAATGATTTTTTTAAGTTCTTGTAATTTTTTTATTGTTTAAATTTTGTTTTGCCAAGAGAGGAACGATTTCAGCTTGGTTTCCATTCACTCAATTTTAATCCCGGGTCTATAGTTCCCTGTTCCTATCCTCACATGTATTATCTGCTCAGCATTTAAAAAAGCCACTTGATCGACTCCACTGACGTAAGTGCCAGCCTAGTGCTTTCTATGACCATTTAAAGTAGTCCAATATTTCTAGAATTACTCAATTGTTCACACTACCGATCACATAAATGCTCGATTTTGAATTTCCAATTTGACCAAGTCAGATGTATAGCCCTATGAAGTAATATTCATCTCATCTATGATTTTTTCTTCACCCTCTACTATATTTTATAACAGGGAAAGAAAACATTCTCAAGTTGTAAATGACATAGACTTTGACTTTCCATATAAACACCTTTTTAAATTTAAACTGCAATTGTGTGCATTGCTTTTGGATATCTTTTTCCCCTTATTTTTAGCACAGGTCTTAATAATAACAAAAAAGTTATTCTGATATTTTTTGGACTTTTATCCCATAACTTTTATCATTTGTACTACAGGGCGAGTCAAAAAAGCGGAACCCAAACCCCCAAAAATATCTTTTCATATTTTAAAAATATGTAGCATCAAAAATAAAATAATGACGGGAAAACCAATTTCATTAGCTACTTTTAGATGAAAAAATTACTGAAATTGCTCAATCCTTTCAAAGAATATCACCATTTAAACACAATGACCCTAAATCCTCTTTCGTTCAAAAAACCCCACTTTATTGTGTGTTCTGACTGTTTGGAACAACAAAGAAAATGACACACAATACTTGTTTCGACAACTGTCAACAACTGTAGTACACAATATATTTATTAACAACCCTACGTAAACATTATGATTTATACAATCCCCTTTTATTAAAAGATGGGCCTTTAATTAACCCTTACTCTCTGAGGGTAGTTTACTGCATGTCAGTTGGTTATGCCAATGCCCTCCAGCTGCAGTTTATTGGAGGATACTTTGATGTAGCAGTGAAGGCTCCAATTGGCAGGAGTTGGAGGCCCTGGAGGGTGCCTGATACTGACCAGCTGGGGGCACTTGATTGTTATCAGAGGACTCTCATTGTTCTCTGTGGCATGTATTGGAGTGCCTGTCCAGTTACCCTTGAAATGACATGGCAGATATTGGAGGGCCATGCAAAAAACATAGGAGATTTTCTTGAGGAACATATTGGCATGCGTTGGAGGGTCTAGTAGGGTAAGGGTTAAAAGGACTTTGTAGAACATGTTTAGCCTTTAAACTGAAGTTTTATCGCTTGTGATGCTTGAAGAAAATTGTGACGACAGTTCTTGAGTCACATTTTTGGACGAAAGAGGTTTTAGGGTCATTGTGTTTAATGGTGATATTCTTTGAACGGATTGAGCAATTTCAGTAATGTTTTTCATTTTAAAGTAGCTTATGAAATTGGTTTTCCAGTCATTATTATGTTTAGTGTTACATTTTTTTTAAATATGAAATACACTTACTTTTGGGAAGTTTAGGTTCCGCTATTTTTGACTCTCCTGTACATTGTATTACACTGCGTTTATTCACTGAAAATCAATAAACCATAGAGTGCTCGGACAGTTTCAGGCGCTACAGTGAGTAATAGGCAGGGTGGTTCCGGGCGCTATAGTCACTAAATGGCCAAGTCTTGTAGATTTCTAACTATCATTTTTGTTTCTTAAGTTAGCAACGGTCGTACAAATAAAATAAAACTTGTTCTAATCGAATTGTGGATTTTCTAATTGCTATCCTTTGGTCTTGTCGATTTCTAACTGAAAATTCTTTTTCTTAGAGTAGGGCCAGTCTTACACACAAAAAAGGATTCGATTCTGATAAAATTGTGGATCTTCTAGCATTTAAGTCTTGTAGACTTGTACCTGAAACTGTGACCCCTTTAAGACATCTAGCCTTTGCTGTTACTTAATCACCACAATGCTATAATAAATACACTGTAATCAACACACAAAGGATGCTCATTAATTAGATGGCCTGAGTCTTCTCCTCTCGTTAGTCCTAAATTAGATTTCTTTGATAACATTCCTAATGATGTCTTTTCAGTGTCCAGCCAGGGATTGGGGGAGTTTATTCACACACAAATCAATGTAAGCCCAGTGTTGTATGAAACTAATTGCTATTTGCAAAAATACATTGTATAATAGAGGGATGGGTCACGTTTTTTTCTCCAGCTTTGTCCTTGCATACATGAGTACAATCTGTCCATTGATTCTGGAAACTTCTCTAATTTCTGTCCTTCAGTGCACTTGTCCGCTCTTTAATTAGTTGGGCATATTAATGGACTATTCTGTATTTGAAAAATGTCTTCCTTTGGTGAAAAAATTCTTCATTCGGCCAACAAAATTAGAAGCCATTTTTGAAGTGGAACCAACACACGTTCTTAAACAACAAGCCGCACGTGCATTAGGCCAACAAAAAAAGTCTCCGGTTTCTGGTATGCGCGCGCGCGTCACCGTAGCCATGCGCGTCAGCAAAATGAAAAAGGTTTTTTTTTCAATGAAAGACGATGTCTCAAAACCGCCAAACTCACTGGTTTGACTGGAATCCTGCTGCTGCACAATTTTAACGTGTTTTTGGATGGGGTTATGGTCGAGAATAAGCTTTATGTGGCCTCTCTGGACTCCCATATATTTGCACTAAGTTTAGTCAAGCACCATTTGCAGTCATCAGCTGACATTTGAGGCAAAAAAAATCAGGTACAAAAAAAAAAGCCGCGTCGCCGCACCACTTTTTGGGCAAGCTCTATACCAGAAACCGGCAACTTTTTGTTTTGGCCTTATGTAATTCTATTGGTCAAAGGAGTCAGGAGTGCATACGTACTACCTGAGCACCAGCCTGGTTCCACTTTAAGCATGGTTTCTAATTTACATGTAGGTCGCCGCATTAGTAGACGATCTTGGATCGGGAAGAATTATTTTCAATGCCGATTTAAAAAAAAAAAATTAAACCTCAAAACAAATTTGTTTAGCTGTCAATTGAACACACCGAACACCTTTTCTTTCCTCTGGCCATCACTGCATCTACAAATGAGGCCATGTATCTTAGCTCTCAAATTTGGGGAAAAAAAGGTGTTTTATTGTAAGGGATAGAAATGAAATTCCCTCCTTGTCTCAGTATAGTGCTGTGTGTCAAGATTTTTTTTAAACGATCCAAATCTTTCTGTGACTGTTAACTTTTTAAGTGTTCAAAACAACGGCTAAAGATGCTGACCCTCTGTAATCAAGGGTATTTAATGAGTATTTGTCAAAAATGTGTAGATAGACTTGTTCCAAAATTTACCTGTGAAATAGCATTACACCCTGTTCTTTGACATACTTTCACATTAAAAAAAAAAGAGCTATAATCTAATATTCCAATCACAAACAATCAATAATGCCATTCATTGTGATTACGACTTATTCCATTATCAGATGAACAAAATGTAATAAGATCATGGCCAAACAGCCGCAGACACACACGCGGCAGCGTGCACTGAGACGGCGTTTATTTTCACCTCACGTAGGATGTGAACAGCTGCTCCCCGGCCGTCTGTTTCCCAAACTGTCTCCGCGCACAGTTTGCCCGCTTCAGGTTGTCATGGCAACCGCGCTGAAGGAGCTACGAGAGGCAAATGTTTACAGGGACCACTTGTCTCATTCCAAGCACTAAAATGTGCGTTCTGACGGGTAGGCATTCTTCCCTGCCCGTTTCCACCGAGGCCTTTCTGCGCTAATCACCGCTAATCTAAACAATAGACGCCGTGGTACTCAACATGAGTATTGTTTTTCAAATATCTGCTAAACGTGCTTCGAATTTGGCAGGATGATTTCTGTGGAGAATATTTTGTCTAGACTGATCGAGAAAACAATCAGATCTATGCATAATTTCTGTGGACAAAATCTGAACATTTGGGCTGATCGCAAACTGAATTAAACACAGGGTTATGTCAAACTTCATTCCAAATTTTGACCCAACCCAATAAAATGAAAACAAATGGGAACAATAAACATTTCTGTTTCTGTTCAACCAGGTACAAACACCATCTTCTGGTTGTCGCATATGTCGGTTGGGTCGTGTGCAAGTCCCAAATTAGGTTAAAGGATGGGCTTTTGCGGAGAGATTTGGTACGTTGATGGAATCTCTCCTACTTTTGAATGTACTGACATCCAGTGCACGTCTTGTGCCAAGATCAAGGAGGTTCCATTCTGGGACTGTCTTTGGGTAAAGAGAGTGAAGGTAGCAGTTTTTGCTCACACAGTGTTTGTAGTATAATTATCATGATGTCAAACTGAGTGACATCACAATGAGAAGCAAATTTTGCTCTTTCAACTGAATTTAGAAAATTAATGAGTTAAAAAAAAATCCTTAAGACAAAAGTAAACTACATGATTTTGGTATTGATCAGACCCATGTTCAATCGACAGCTGGGTCATCTGTGGACAATCTCTGGGTACTGCTTTGTTTTTCTCAAAATTGTTCTCACTGTGTGTGAGTTTCTTAGCTGACTTTTCTCGGCAACACAATTTGCTTAAAGGGTAAAACAAAAAATGAAGTTTACACTGGAGATCTGTGGATCTGGAGAGGAAACTTACCCATGCCTGACTCTAACTCCTGCAGAGACAACTGAATGGCTCTCCGGAAATCCTCGTCAAATGAACTTGATAAGCCAGCCTCAACTGTCGGATGAAACAATGAAATAAGATTTCTGGCCTGTCATTGTCTTTATTAAGATCTGAAATCTCACTAAGGTGAACTTGTTTTTTTTTTTTTGCAATTGGGATTGATTAAAGGGAATGTACAACATTTGCTTTTGCTTCAATTTTCATAAATATATGGATTTGGAGGATTAGGACATTGTAGCAAATATTGTTAAAATGACCTGTTTCACGTTTTGGGCTTGTAGATGCTGGAAAAACTAGAAAAACCATTCATGTTCTTGTAGTCTGGTTCCCTGACCCCACTGAAGATGAAACAGAGAATTTATAGACTTTGGGGAATTGTGAGGTCAGAAAATCAGTCTAGCAGGCCTGTACCCCTTCACAGGTGTGTTATCAATTGAAAAGAGTTTTTGCAGTTTTTACAGCAAAGAGTTTGCAAGCAGTTTTTGAGAAAAAAAGCCAGTTTTCTCCAACGCTGGTCGGCCGACCAGCGTTGGAAAAATACAATTTTTCTTGAAAATGTCAGCACACCAGGAGCCATGATTTTACAGGATGTTTCAGACTGTCATTCCCTAACAATCTAGTAAGGTATTTTGTGACAATCTGATCATTTCGTTTTGTGATGTTTGCAAATGTTGTATCTTCCCTTTAATAAGGCCAATATTAGACAATTTGAATCTAATTTTAATAAACTTTATTTCTTATTTATCATTATTGCTTTGCATGCTGGGAACTTTCTTAAAAAAGCAGAGTATACACCTTGGAAATGCAAGATCCAGAAGGAAATGCAACATATTTTTTTTTGATCCCAAATAGGACTGGGGGGGGGGGGGGGAAGTGATGGAATTAATTTTTAGATCTGCAATTAGAATTGCTTAAATCTAAAGTTAACCTATCTGGCTGTAACATTATCTACAACTCCCTCCCTTCTGCAACTGTTTCTCCATTATGAGAAATTAAAGCAATCCTCTTGTAATGAAAAAATGAAAACTTCTGGGCACAAATAAAAGGAGTAAAATATCACTTGTAGTCAACAAAACAAAGACTACCTGAAATTACCCAATGATTGCTTCATTAGAGCAGAAAACGCTCCGCAATCAATGACTTATAAAAATGTGAGAGTGTCCCTTGTATAAAGGGTCAATCAAGCAGGTTACGTGCGTCACCTATCCTGGCTAATATGTTCAGTCGTGCTTTACTCAGCTGTACAATCCAGTCCCACGTGTGACAATCCAATCCCACGTTGATTAATAAGTCGGTGCTGCATCCCGAAAAAACAGGACACAATGAAATGGAACGTGTGGCAAAAACACCCATTCCGGGACGGAGGTGCATGCATTTAATGTCAATTGCCTCCGCAGAGTTTGCAAACCTACGGATCGTAAATCTGGCTCCCGTGGGGAAAATGTTTCACCAATCAGTGTCTAGAGTGTCAAATGGACCCTGACAAGCGTGGCAATTTTGGCGCCGAGCTCATGAAGCGTTTAATTAGCAGACAACGTCATAAATGCAGCTTTGTCATACAAATTCACATTTTTTTCCCAATGATTTCTTCGAAAGATTCTTGTTTTTTTTAAGTCAGTTACATGTAGGGCAGGGGAGTATCTTGTATTTATAGTCTAACATTTGACGGTAATTTGATAAACAGTTATGGCAGATTCAATAATCAGTTATGGCGGATTTAATCAGCAGAAGATTACTGAATTAGCTATGTCATTTAAATTCAATTTTGTTTGTTTCAGTATGTGTTTCATCACTTTTTTATGGCTTCATTTTTTATGTTTCATTGTTTTTAGGGCAGGGAGATACATACACTTTGTAGAAACACTTCACAATTCTAAAGGATTTGATATAATATTTACCGTATGACTACACTGGAAATGACGTAGCTCAATGTCATTCAGTTCTAAACTCTTTTCAGTTCTTTTCAAATTCTTTTCGATTCTTTGTCTTTTTTTTAATGGTTCACTGTGTTTTGGCAGGATGGTGCCTTGTAGAAAAAGTGATTACAAAATTGTTACAAACACAGAAAAATGTTACAAACACAGCTTTGTCCCAAATGTTAACAGTTCATTTCATTAAACAGTTCATCATTTTGGGAGCGTAAGTACTGTACCTTGTTGAAACACTGAAGGTTGAAGTTCAAAAATCTGTATCTGCTCATTGGTTGATTAAAAGAATGCACTCACCTGATTGGCCAGTGTTGGCCTGTGTGTTCTGACTACTTGTTTTGAGACCTCTGCTACTAGTCACTTGCGTGTTTGCTCCATTACTTGTTCTGAAAAACATAAAAACAAAACAGACAATTAAGCAAAGTTGAAACGCAGCAGCTAACTTAATAGTTTGGGATGGGATTTGTTTATTTCCAAGATTGGTCAAAGAGAAACTGCAGACAACTAAAGAAACAAAAAACAGCAATGTTGAAAACCATGTACGTGTACAGCGTAGAAATGGATTCAGTTTCCTGATCTACCGAAGAATGCCGGTTTACAACTGAAGACTTGGGTGTTTTCGTGATCAACATTTACACAGGAATCAGGTGGGCTTATAGCAACCACCGTTTTTCCTGCATGCGCTAGTCACTGAAGTTTCAAGATAAGATAAAGAGAAGACTTTTATTCAGCAAATGTAAGAAGTTAAAAACAATTGACATCAGAAATTGACTAATTCCCTGTGCTCTCTAAAAACTGAATATGCATACATGTATTAAATGAATAAAATTACTAATTACTTACTAATAAATACTACTAAGTACTAAATACTAATAAGCCTCTGTACTGATGACATCACACTTTGTTTACTTGTGCACTTTTCTATGGGGCTATGAAACCGTCGACCCTACCAGGCTCCCATAAGAAAGAACACATGTAAACAAAGCGTGACGTCTTCAGTACAGACGCCTACATTCAATTTTATCACTAAATGATCAAATTATTTATAAGCAGCAAATTTGCAATGATCTTCTCCTGTTGGTTATAGTATATGTGTTGTGCAATATGAAGGCTAACCCCATGCAAACATCTCACTGTGAATGCATTACATACTGTACTTTCTTATGGAGAACTTTGTACATGAAACCCCATAGACAAATTTGTGACAAAAGAGAGATCCTGTAAACAGGAGAATAGCCAATCAACAGCCACAAATTTTAACCAATTGCTGAGAAGGCTTGGAGGGACAACCAACCAATAAGATATCTTGTTCTGTGACACTTGGCAAGGCCTGGCTATGGGCCAATGAGAAGTAGGGTTGGTTCTTTACATCCTAGAAGTGGAAAGTTTAGGCAGGAAGGAAAAATTACTGGGCAGTCACTTTTGTCTCAGCCTCTGAAGAAACAACTTGTATAGTCAATTTTACCTCACAATTTTGGATATTAATGATAATAATAATGTGCTGCATGTATGATGGGTCGGCTGCCCAGATTTCGGTACCCAACATTTTTTTAATAAAAACCTTCTGGCTGAGGCGTACGCACACACAATTTTCTGTGTTGCTTGGGATTTTTTATTTGTCTGCTTGTACGTAGTACACAATAACAAAATACAAACTGACAGAAAAACAAACTAAGACCCATTATATAAATGAAATGCAGAAAGATAAAACCTCTTTGTAAAACGCATACTACCATCAACAGCTAAGAAATGGATTAATTTTCATGATCTCCCGCAGAATACCTGTTTAGAGCTTAAGACTTGGTATTTTCGTGATCAGCATTTGCGAGGGATTTAGGTGGGCCACAACCCCCGTTTTTCCTCCATTTGAAGAGTTAAGACTGCATTGTCCCAACAACAATGTGAGTGTCATTCAAACCATGGCTTCCCTTGTCTAAGTGCTCACATCTCATATGATTATAAAATGCTCTCCCTGTGCATTTCAACACATTCAATGTTTATATTTGAAACTTTCCCCCTTTTTCCGGACGTCTTTTAAATGCTTTTGCACTTCTAATACACTACAAGATCCTCCTATTTTTTTTGTCAGGTGACAAAAAATAAATATACAGTGGCATATTTCTTGAGAGAGTCCAATTAAGACATTCTGCACTTGAGAATTATTTTGCCAAATCTGTAACAGATAATAATTAATTGCTGAATCTGCATGCACATCACAGATGCTTGCTCTGCAAGCGTCCATTCCATAGACTACATTTTTGTGGGAGATAACAAGTTCGCGTCGGAGGCTGTGATAACACGCACTGGCTGTTTTTATACACGGGCACGGCTGATGGGTTATCGTCAAGATTGCCTTGACTCGCCTCCAGGTGACGTCTAAACACGCTAATCCCACACACAAAGTCCGTGAAGTCTGTGGAGGCGGACCGTGTGTTGATCTTGAACTGGTCATTGTGCACGGCCCATTGCTGTACAATTTACGCTCCAGTGCACACCCCAGAGTATTGAAACATTATGAGGTTTTGGCAAGAAATATCGTACCATTAGTGTTGAAATGACTCCTGCGAATCAGTGTTTTTGGCGTTTGGCTGTATATCAGAAGTTGGCTGGAAAATTTTGCCTTTATATGCGAAAATTTGATTTTCCACAAAAATAATCCCGGCGCGAAATGGTTAAAGTGAAAATACAACATTTGCAAACATCGAAAAATAAAACTAACAAGTTTTTACGAAATACCTTACTAGGATGTTGGTAAATGACAGTCTAAAGCATTCTGTAAAATTATGGCACCTGGTATGAAGTCATTTTCAAGACAATGGTATTTTTGTATATATTTCCAATGGTGGTCGGCCGACCACCGTTGGAAAAACCTAACTATTTTTTCAACTACTGCTCCATATTTACCATTTGTTTCGGTCCAATTTGTGTTTGCTTTTGGTTACATGTTCATGAACTGGTACAGGCCAGCTACACTTGTTCCCTTACCTTACAATTTTCCGGCATCTATAAATTGATCCATTTCATTTTTAGTGGAGTCAGGGAACCAGACTACTTGAACATTTTTGTTTTTCTTGGGTTTTCCAGCATTTTCGGACACAAAACTTCAAACATGTCAGTGCAACAATATTTTGTTCTATTATACTAACCCCTCAACTAGTTCATTTCTGAGAATTACAGCGAAAGCCAATGATGTACATTCCCTTTAAAAGAAAAGTCCTCTCCCTACAAATACGCTATGAAAGACAAAATATTCCTAAAATAGAACTTTTCAATGCGAGGGTAACAAGTCTGATTTGATATTTTCTGCCAAACTCTCCTCTCAGAAAACGGAAGAATAGCCCCAGTAAGTTAAAAATAATCATTCTCCGAACTGTCCAACAGATATTGCCAACAAAAATATATATATATATAATCATGACAAATCAAGTGTAAAATTGGAAAAACCAGCATGCGTGCAATAATTACATTTGGCAATAATTTTTGAGTGTTGAAAATGGTCGTATCTGTTGAGTACCTAGAAGCTAACAGGCTGGTTGCAATCGTATGGACGTGACAATTCTAAATTTTGCACGCGGTAGAGATCAAAGACCGATAATCAAAATCACCTCAGAAAGATGGAAAGTGTTTTTTTTTTTTAAAGATACGTCAGGTTGACAAAAAAAAACTGCGATTACGGTACCGGTATATGAAACAATTATCCAGGTACAGGTACGTAGGTAGAAAAAAATTATTTTGAAAGTTTTTAATGCTTGTCTGTCAGTGTTTTGTATAAACTTTGTATTTTTTTTTACTGTGACCTTTAACGTGATGCTTTTTTTTACCAAACTGTTTTAATTGTTTAAAACCTGTGGCATATTGGTTAAGGGGCCATCACCTCCCCCCCCCCTCCCATCTTCCTCAGAAGAGTTAAAAAATAATAAAAATAGATATTTTCACAGCTATGTATACTTGGCATCCATTAGATTAAGGGCCTCCTCCTCCAAAGCAAAATCTGCTTGCTGCACTAAAAGGAGTCCAGGGCTAAATTTCATGCAGCTTTTAAGCAGAAAACCACACAAATTAAGCCCCAGAAGCAGAAAACCACACAAAATTAAGCCCCGGAGCATATTTGCATTTTATTTTTAAAAAAATGGCCAAATGTTGCAATAAAAAGTTTAAGGTCAACAATTTGGCCTAAAAAATTCCAAGAAGTCTGGCAACCGTAAACACACAAGTTTGTCTTTGTTTTTTTTTTGACCCTACAATTTTTTTGGCCTCACACTGAATACTATACTGTGACAGCAGAATATTCACAAAAACACAAAACAGTACATGTATTTGGGGAAAAAAAGAATTATTGATGATTGCTCGCAGTTGAGCTATATCCCAAGGAAAAATTGAAAGTCATCTTTGTTGATTTGTAAGAAAGAAAGGTCACATTTCTCCACTAACAAACAACAGCTCTGTTAGTTTTTTTTAAGTTGTGTAGCCAACCCTAACTGCCCTGAATCCTTCAAAATCCTCTTTGCCAAAGTGGAGGAATTTGGAGGATTGAGGTTACATGGCAAAAGTGCGTTACTGATTTATAGGATGCACTTTGTCAAGGTCTTGGGCCGGACCTTGTGTTCTTTTGGCTCAGCCATGCATAAATAAAGGCCTGGAGTATGCTTGAAATCCTCTGTACTGCTACAGGATGTCACTGGCCAAGCCTCAACATAATTGACTGTCACTGCGGCAGGATTTTGCAGGATTCAGGCAGTGGTCACCCCTCCACTGACAATATTCAAGAAATAATGGAGGACTTTGCAGGATTGAGGCTTTGTGCTATTTTTCCATGAGGCCAATTGGAAGATTTTGCAGAATTGAAGCTACATCCTAGCAAAAAGGCCTAGGGAGTTTGGTTTACCTGGAAGGCCGGCTAAATAAATTACATCTCATCTCAATATGCTTTTCACAAGAGAAAAAATACACCAAGGAAATCACGAGAAGAGAGGTCCCTCAACTCACGACACAATAAAAGGAGGGCAACGCGAAATGCCACAACGGGAGGACACGTTGAGGAATGGCTGGTACTGGCACGCGGTGCCTGCGTGTCATTGCCCTCATCCAGGGACACCAGTTTCAGGCTATAGCCTGAATTCAGTTTTTTTTCTTCATGTTTTGGAAAAAACAAATTCAGGCTTTCCATCCCTACAGAGGCCGGAAAAGTATATGTTTGTGTAGCAAGCACAGCGAAAGTAAAATCGTGCCTTACTGCCTGCGATGCTCCATGTCAATCGCCATGCTACAAATGTAGCTCAATACCGGAATTGTGATTTCAAAGTTGACATACTTGCGTTTGTTTATGGTGTAAATTGAGGACACACGCGTGCAACATCATCGGTGAATCGAGGACAGGAACCAAATC